ATTATCTATAGTGGCAGTACTGGAAAATAGTTTAGTAATGATTGGCTGATTTTTATGATGAAGAATAATTTTATGTGGCTCTTTTTATGTAAATACCTGAAGAGTTCAAAAGAAGGACATTCATTTTAAATACATACCTGGGTACTTTTGGGGGATTTGGGGCTCATTTATTTTTAACTGCAAATGCTTGAAGTTCAGCAAACCATTAGAATAGGTTTCCACATATATTTTTACAGTTGAATATTATATGCCATAGTTGCTATTATCTAAAGATATTGTGTAGATGGAACAGGGAGACTAAAACTAGCCACTGTTATATTCAAGTCCATCTCGTTTATTGTTTCTGGAAGCTAGAAGTAAATACAATATGGCTTGGCCTATGGAATAAGGAAAATATTTCTTTATTCTCTAAGAGCTAAATCTGTAAGGTTTCTACCCCCCTCTTCCTTTTACTTGGTTCTTTATCACTCTTCTCCAGTTACTGCTCTTCTAGTGTTCTTCAAAGCTTAGCTCAAAATTTACCAGCTATAAAAACTTCACCTTGATTGTCTCAGCCTATCTTTGCCCCTTGTTTCTGCTTTAGTAGGCTTTTTCCTTTCATGACTAAGTTTTACAGCCTTCTTTTTCGGTGAGAATTTGAAACCCTACCAGAGTTTGTCTTCCTAACTGGACCATTGCAGTCCAAGATATAAAAATGTTTGTTCCTAGTCTTTGACTTCACAAAGAACTTCCATCAGCCTGTCAATCAAACACATCACTAACGCACATTTGGTTCGCCTGACATTTTTCTTATAGTAAGATTTTTCTTAAGGAATTAGTGTGAGCTTTATTCAGTGCAAACTTACACTTCGATAGCACCGAACTAAGCTTTGTGGATGTTAATGACAGATGATTCTGTTACCAGTGCTATGGGTGAGGAAGTACAGCCTGATTGTGAGGGATGATGTGACTGCTTATGGTGAGGTGTAATTTTCACAATGGGCATAAATGTGCATAAGGAGCCAGTATTTTTGAGTACTCCCTGTATGGTAAGATCTGTCCTATGTCCTTTATATGAATGAGTTCCGTTAAACTTCACAATAACTCTATTAGGTGGGTACCATTTCTCCCATTCTACAGATGAGAAAGCTGAGGCCCTGACAAGCTAATTACCTTGCCCTAAATTTTACTGTTAGTTGCTAAGCCACATAACAAATCTAGATCTGTCTGAAATTGTTTCTGCCTCACTGCTGTTCAATAGAACCTGAAGTACTAGTGACACTGTTCTATCCCTGCAACGTCCCAGTGTGGTAGCCAGACTCCATGTGGCTCATCAGTCCTTGAAATGTGGCAGGTTCAACTAAGGAAGTGAATATCTAGTTTTATTTTATCTTAATTTACTTATAAATTTAAATAGCCATGTAGATTTAGTGCCTATTGTGTTTGACAGCTTGCTCTGGATAATTTTTAAATATTGCTAACTAGAAGACTAGTAAGAGGAAAAAGAATCCTTGGAGATAATGAAGTGCACAGTAAAGTCAAGATTAGGGGGTTGACTGTTACATGAACATAATACAGAAGAGAATGCAAAAGAGAACAAAATTCTAAGGCTGATGGCTGTGACTAAGATCAACTTTCACACTAAAAAAATGTTTTTCTCAAAATCCTTAATGCTTTTTTTCCAATATAAATCTTCATAAAGATTAATTTTACTCTTTTGATTATACAACATAATAGAAATGGATCAAATAAGAGATTGTTTAAAGTAAGTGTATCCCGGGACATTAACAGAGTAATGTAATCTTATACTTAACCTTCTGTGTGAATTTTGCCTCATTAACCATTGTGCCTAATTTTATTACACTATTGTGTTGGAATCCAGTTCTATATTTTAGAAAAGTAACATAATTTTCTTCATAATTAACAAGAATTTATTTTTAAAAAATCTAAAATCCTCATAATGTTTATATTTGTCTTACTCATTCTATCATTGTTTATATGTTTATTGAATTTATTCAGTACATGAATGTGTAAATCTTTACAAAGTGAGCTTGGGAGGCAATGAACCCAAAAAAGATGGTCAGTAAGTGGGAGAAAACAATAGAATATAGATAAATACAAAATAAGTTGATCTTCTCTGAATAGTCTTTGACTCTCCTGTTTCCCTCATAGAAATTGGTACCTAAGGTTTATTTATGCTAATTCAGAGATGCTTTTGAAACTCCTACCTTCACGATCCATTTGTAGTTATCCAGTTGAAAAAAATCTCAGATCCTGTAGCATTAGCATCACTTTTAATTACAGTTGCCCTGTGTACCCTGAGCTCCACATCGCTGGCTTCAGCCAATCATGGACGTACTGCATGATTAGGACCATGACAGTTGTATTTGTACTGGACTAGTGTAGACTTTTTTTTCAGGACCATATTCCTTAAACAATACAATGTAACAACTGTATATATTGAACTTATGTTCTATTGGGTATTATAAGTAGTCTTGAGATGGTTTAAAGGGTCTGTGTAGGTTATATGCCATTACCACTCCGTTGCATATGACTTGAGCATGTGTGGAGTTTTGTATCAGGCAGTGAGGTATCCTGCATACACTGAAGACTGATGCATTTCATAGCCTAGCCTCTTTTCCTTATGTTTTTCTAGCTTAGGTTAGACCCATGAGATCAAAAGGAGGAAAAGAATGTGTTCTACTTTGCTTGCCTTCTGCCCTTTGCCTGGAGGTTGGAGACTGAGAAGATGACTTAGGGTAAAAGGGCCAGTTATGTCTTGGCTTAACTAGGCCAGCCATTCATTGGTGTCTTTGTGGGAGAGGATTCCAAAGTTGGAGTCTCCTTCAGGATGTGTATGTGAGTTTTTCCGCACGCCTACAGTAGCTTCCACACTGATCTATTGTGGATGTTAGGCTGAACCTCTTCCTGCCGACTCAGTTCCTTCCCCTGGTCCTATAGACCACCAAATCTAGTTGCCTTAGTCCCCTTATAAAGAAGCAACCTTAATTAGGAGGAAATCCACACAGCTTTCCTGGGTCAAACACTGGAAACAAAGTCTACACTTCTGCCATTTCTCTTTTAAACTCTGGATACTTAGGTTTAAGGGCTTATCAACCATCCTTGCTGACATGATGTCCAGCCAGGCTAATAACAGTTCATATTAGACAGCTGGGGGTGCTATATCAAAATACAATACAATGAGTGGTGTAAGCTATAAGAATTTACTTTCCATAGTTCTGGAGGCTGGGAAGTCCAGCAACAAGATGGCAGCTGATTTGGTTTCTGGTGAGGGCTCTCTTCCTGCCTTCTTGCTGTGTCCTCAGATGGCAGGAAAAGAGGGAGAAGAGAAGAGAGGAGAGGAGGAGCGGGGCGGGAGGGGGAAGAGGGAAGCAGAAGCAGCAAGTTAGTTCTTTGGTTTCTCTTCTTGAAAGAGCATTAATTCCATTAGAGGGTCTCACTGTCATGACCTCATCTAAGCCTGATTACTTTCATGAAGCATCATCACCAAAGATGATTGCACTGGCAGTTAGGGTTTATCATATGAATGTGGCTTTGGGGAGGGGGCACAGTTCCATCCATGAGACAGTTCCTCTTTTGTGCAGTCTCACGGTCCCATAGCACTTCCCATCATGCCCTTGACTGGCGGTTACAGTCATTGCCTCTCTCTCTTCTCTCCAATATTTTAGAGTTGTTTATTTGTGGACAAAAATGAGGCCTTAGAGTGAATCGGTGGGGAGATAGTAGAAGTAGAAAGGTTTATTTCTACCTAAGTTAGCCTTGGAGTAGATGTCTCAACCCAGTTACAAAACTCTTTTTAGAATTTTTTGCAGCATAATGTTTCTTTATATTTCACACTGAGTTCTACTCACCAATTCTAGGGCAAGAGTAAAGTCACATTCAAAAGTCTCTTAAAATATCATTCCCCCTTACTGTCTTGAATTCTGAGCCTCTGCAAGCAGCATTCCTTTCTTCTGTCAGTTTCTCACTGAAGTCTTTCCAAGTCCTTCATCTTCCTCATCCCCATGGACTAATCCCTCACTCTGGCTTCACTTGGAGCTTTCTTCATTCTCCTTTTGAAACACTCAGAGCATTGTTTAGCTGTTGGCAGAGTTTTCTCCACTACTAGGTGAGTTTCTTAAAGGTTAAAACCAGTTACTAGGGCATGTAGCATAGGTTCTTATGCACAGTATGTTTTGACCAAATATTTTAAAAATAAATAATGTAGGAAGATCCCATATTACAGGTGTGCAGATGGAGTGGTGAAATTGTTTTTCGTTTAAAATTACATGAAGTTTTACTTACCTCAGTGGTGGTCAGAACCAAGATTATCGAAAACAAATTATTAGTGTTAATATAAGTTCCTTAATATTATGGGACATTCTGAAATTTGGCTATTTCTTAATTTATTTTCTAAAATGAAGGTTATACTTTTTTTCTTCCCTCCCTCCCTCCCTCCTTCCTTCATCTCTCTCTCTCTCTCTCTCTCTCTCTCTCTCTCTCTGGTACTGGCAATCAAACTCAGAGCATCATGCTTACCAGGCAGGTGCTAGATCCTTGGCCCACTACTTTATTTTTTAAAAAGGGGTAAGTTAGACTGCCTTTTTAAAAAAATAGGAGGTATACCATTTTAGGATTTTGTAATGTTATAATCCAGTGGCGTATATTATTAATCCCTTTAAAAATCACGTATACTTTGCAACATGAAAGTCTATAATTTTATGCTCTACTGCTAAGTGTGTGAGTGGGGATTTACTCTGTGTTATTTTGTGGTAAAAATGAAACACATTTTACTGGGGAACTGTATGAAGAATTATAGTGTATTGTCAATATAGTTATGAATTAAAGTTTGGAAAGCTCTGACGATTTCAGGATTCACAGAAAAATTTCAGTCTTGACTTTTGAAGCTTTCTCTTCATTGATAGCCTGATGAAGTTTCGTACTTAGCCAGACACCTAAGGATGAGTGGATTGTTCAGTACCCAAAGTTGATTTTTTTATCCCTGTCTTTGCCTCCTACAGAGTCCATCCGGGTGTACAGCCACTTGGTTCTCTGCAGCAGTGTCTCATCGTGTTCCACGCTGGTGACCTCACACAGAGCACAAAAGCCCATGTCAGCAGACAGCCAGCCTACCGGAGGTCATGTAAGCCATGTTTTAAAATTGTACTGCATCATGTCGACACTTTTACACAATAGATGTAATAAGATGTAAGATGTGGCCAACCAGGTAAAGTTACATATGCTCAGAATTTTAAGAAAAGAACATCATGGTTGAAAAAGAAAATGCCATTTATGATATGGGATGTTTAAATCATTTGCCGAGGACAGAGGATATTGCACATAACAGAGGTAGGCAAATTGCTTTGTTCTTAAAAGAGCCAGATAGGAAATATTTTAGGCTTTGCAGTCCAAATGATTTCTGGCACAGCTAGTCAACTCTGCCCTGTCTCTGGAAAAACAGCTGGGTTTGTGGATGGGTATGGTGGTACCGCTAGAACTTTATTCCAGAAACAACTGGCAGGTGAGATTTGGTCTGTGGGTGACATTTTGCCAGTTCCAGGCATATATGATGAAATTCTGCCTCTCACTTTCTGCCTTAATAGTAGGCTAATTTTGAAGGAATGGTTTGCTTCAAATTATATAGCAAATGCAATTCAATTACCCAGCTTCTGAATTAGCTTGCTGATGCAAGAAAGTTAGAGAAAAAAGTGTAAACTAGATTGTTTAATGACTAATCATAATTTCTGAAAAAAAAAATTGAGAACAGTGTAAGATGAAGTTCCATCTCAAGAACTAAACAAAATAAACGCACAGAAATGGAAATCCAAGCACCTGGATTCTCATTGGAAAGTGGATACATTTCATCTTTATTTTCAGTTTCTATGTAACTCCTTCAAAATTTTGTAGGCTATATATAGATCAGGATTAACACTGTAGAAAGTAATGGGGTTTACAGAAATGGAAACTCTTTACAAGAAGCCTGAGAAAAAATGGGTAGTTCCACTCTTGCTGAGTCATTTTTGTTGCCAGTAAATAATAAAGGAAATAAGAATTGAAAGAAAAAAGTGTGAATAACATATCCTTAGTCAGTATTTACCTATAAACCAAAACTTAACCTTTGACTTCATAGACTTCCTTGAAAACAGCTTTATTTCCTGGAAATTTTACTGAGAATTCTTTAACTCAAGAACCCACTGACAGGCAGCCTTTTGGATACGCATGTGCTGGAGGTTGCTACATTGAGGGCACAGAGTTGATGCAAGGTAGCATTTTGGATGTGGACTTTTGGCAACAGTAATTTGGTTATGAATTGTCTTGTGACCCTGAGATATTGATGAAAATGAATAACCATCATTTCAAAATATTCTATGATGATTAATTTGGGGGTGAATAAGTTGTGACAGGGGAATTTTCTTGAAATGAAATCATACCTGGAAGATACAAGAAATTTAAAGGAATTTCCTCTAGTACGTCAATAGGAGAAGTCATAAGAAAAGTCTGATGTGCTTTGTATTTTTCTTTTGATGAGTTCTCTTTGATCCCTGGAGTTTTAGCTTGATCTCTGTATTGGTAAGCTTTCCGGATGCTGGGATAAAATACCTGACAACCATAATTTAAGGGAAGAGAAGGTTATTTGGGTCATGGTTTCAGTTCATGGTCCACTGGCTCCAAGGCAGGAACATTCTGGCAGGGGAAAGTTACTCACCTCATGGCAGCTGGGAAGAGAATCTAGGGACAGAGAGCTATCTAGAGATACAAACTGCACATTCACACCCCAGTGACCCACCTCCTTGGACTAGGCCTTTCCTGCCAACAGTGTTCAGCCAGGAAGAGCAGTGGGTGAATCCACAGATGCTTAAAGTGCCTTCATGAACAGAGCAGTTCTGCAGGAGTCTCTCGATCTAGTCAGATTGACAAGTGAGGTGAACTGGCACAGCTTCCTTCATCAGGGGCTCAAAAACAGGGTCGTTTTGATTGATTATTTCATAGTGGCCAGTGAGGGCTATTCCTGTCTGACGTGCAGAAGGGTGCAAATGTAGGCCAGGTGGAACTGGAGGTCTCAGGTGTCTCTTTGAATTTGCATTGTGAAAGCATGTAATCGAGTGTAATTTGTTACCTACTGACCATTGCTGTTACTGTAACAAGGACCCAGAAAGGTGGAATTCATACAGACTGTTTCTTCCAAAGTAGCTTTCATTTTGGCTCATTGACTGGGAAGCACAATATTCTCTACCATGAAGAGACCTTGGGTGCCTTGGGTGCGTGGCATTTGTGCTAACTGTATCTCACTTGTAGTGTTTACCATGATTTTGTTTTTTCTAACTTCCTGAGAATAAATGTATTTGTAAAGCAGAGTTTGGGTATCTTATAAAGTAATAGACATCTCAAATGTGCATGCTCTCACTTGAAGCTCCCTTCTTTTTTATTTTAGCTAGCACTGTACTCAAAGGCTTGAGTGGCTCTGAGTCACCATTTTTAATTTTATTTGCTTAAAGCTTTTTGTTTGCTTGTTTTTTGAGACGGGGTCTTGATACTTATGTATTCCAGGCTGACTATGTAGCCCAGTTTGGGCTCAAATTCACAGGCTCTTGAATGATGGGATTTTAGGCCTGTGCCACCATGCCCAACCTTGATGCTTTTAATAGTATTTCTTACTATCTTTCTGATTATCAAACTAATATGTGCTCATGGTAGAAAAAGTTAAAACAATAGAGAAGTGTAAAGTGGTGAAAATACCACTAGTCATGCAATTAGTAAGAGACAAGTTATTACACGGTTCTTTCCAGGGTTATTTTGCATGATTGCCTTGTGGCTTTGCTATTTTAACATCAAATTGTGAAGTTTCCCTGTACCACTACATAAATAAACATACTTTAATGCATATGTATTCAATCAACTTAAAATTTATCGTAATCAGTTATCAATTTCCCTGATTTTTGGTATTAAATATAATACCTCTGTGAATATATTTTTGAATAAATCTTTTTCCATATTTCTGAAAATTAGGATATTTCTTTCAAAATAGCTTTTATTTTGGATAAACCATTGAGAATCTTAATAGCCTAATAAGAAAGTTTCTTAAGAGAGTGTATTCATCAGGGTTCTCCCGAAGAACAGAACCAATATAATATATAATCCTATTGTTATATAATCATAATTATTAGATTATCTTACATGGTCACAGAGGCTAAAAAGTCCCATGTGGGCCATCTGCAAGCTAGAGACACAGAAATACTGGTAGCTACTCATTCTGGGCCAGTGATGCAGTCCCAGTTCAAGCCAAAGGCATGAAAGCCCCTGGAGTAGCCCTGGTAGAAGCCTCCTCTCAAGGGCTAAGGGACCTGAAGTTTGATGACCACGGGTGACAGCAGCACAAAACCACCTGCTCAGAAAGTGAGAGCTTGAGCAGGTGGTTTTGAGCTGGCTTCCCACTCCCGCCCATTTTGCTCCTTTCGGGATCTAGACTACTAGATGGTGCTGGGTACCATCAGGGGATTTTCTTCACTCCGTTTTGCTGACCTGCACACCAGCAGGTATTTCCTGGAAATACCCTCACATACACCCAGAAGTATGCTTGGGGAAACTCAGCCAAGCTGGCACTCAAATTAACCATTGCTGAACAGAATGAAGAGGTCTAGCATTACAGCTATGATAGAAGTGCTCCATGCATGTTTCAGAAAATAGGTACACATTGAAAACGTTCTTCATCTCTGTGCGAGTCTTAGCCATGTTTCCTCATCAACACTGACACTGAACAGTCCTTTCTCCTTCCATGAGGCATAGAGAAGTTTATACCAAATACACATCTGCTCTTAAAACCACACAGGAAACAAACAGATTGAGATTGAGGTTGGTGCTGGCGAGGCCTATGAACTAATTTTATGGCAAAACTCAGAGACAGGGAAACAACATAAAATCCCAAATATCCTATTTGTGGGCAAAACAGCTGAGGCTCACAGTATTTGTGCAGGAACTTTGCTAGAGTCTTTGGGAGAAGAGGTGTAAGGAAGAAACCTACTGATGTCAGTGACCACAGTCAGGAAGTCCAAGAAAGAAAGAGCCCTGTCCTGGATGAGAGTTGCAGATCTCCATCAGCACACCTCTCAAAGGAGAGAAATGCACTAGAATTAAGGGGTTGTGTGTCCTTTGGTGGCAGCTGCTAGTGATGAAGCTGGAGGAGCTCAGAGCTGCTACCAAGACCTTTTGTAAGTGCTCATAAAGTGTACATCAGGCTCCTGACAGGCAGAATCAGTCACCTGAACTGTGAATTTCTTGCCTGGGGTTCTCCTCCTCACATGGAAATGTAGTCAGGTTAACAGCTTTGACCAATGAAATGGAGAAGTTAACAGCATGACGTTGCCCTTTTCTCTGCCTAGAAATGACACCTTAGGGTGCAGTTTGTGTACCTCTGTGCACTTACAAGTGGCCTGGTGTACACACTTCTGTACTGGCTTTTCTCCTCTTTCCGGCTGCTTTTTCATTTTATTTCTTCCTGCTTTCCTGGAACTGCACTCCTTACAGGAACACTTCTAGGATGGTGATGTCAGTTTTTTGTGTTTTTCTTTTCAGAGCTTCATATCCTACCTTCCAAGCTTTCCTTGCCTTTAAGTTTTGTGTTGAGAAGTCTGTTGTAATTCTGATGAATTTTCCTTTATGGATGATTTTGTTGCTTTTTTCTAGCAGCCTTTAAGATTCTGTTCTTGTATTAGATTTCTGGAATTGTAGTTATTGTGTGGAGTGGTTTGTTTTTGGTTTTTGTTCTGATCATGGCTACTCAGGGGTCTATATGCCTTACTTATCTGTATGTTAAATTCTTTTTCCATGTCTGGAAAGTTTTCTGCTATTATTTCTTTAAACAGGTTTTTTATGCCCTTCATACTGTCTGATTTTTCATTAATTCCAATTAGACTTCTTTGAGTCATCTAGTGGGTGTTGGATCCATTTTTCATATTCTCTTGTTTTTAAGATTTTGTTGTTTTTTGTTTCTTTTTTGTACCGGGGATTGAACTCAGGACCTTGCACTTTCGAGGCAGGTGACAGCACCATTGAGCTAAATCGCCGGCCCTGTTTAGAACATTTTATGGACTCATATTCCCTTCTATGATGGGCGTCAATGTATTGTATCTCTTTCTTTAGCTCCAC